AGAGGTTGGCCTGATTGTGGCAAGTGGGTGCCACGGGCCGTCACCAGGAGCGCCTGGAGCAGTGAAAATAAATATTCACAACTAAGCACGACTTTGCATTGTGCGCCTGGCTGCAGCGCTCCTCAGGGAGGGCAGACGAGCCAGTGAATCCCTAGGGGCCTCCGGCTCAGATCCGCAAGGGGATTGGGCAGCGAGGTGCCTAAATCCCTTTCAACATGTGGGCCACTGACGTCCAGTGAGGCCCAGCCTTCTGAGTGCCTCTGTCTCCCTGGGAGACAGGGATTGGGGGCTTTTGCCGACGTTACCTGCTGCCGTTATCGTACAGGCAGGACAAATGGGAGTTAGGACAGAAGGATGGTGAAGACTCAGATTGGGGATCCTCCTGAGGGCCAACTGGGGCACTGCGTAAGGTCCCAGATTATCTCCCTGCACAGAAAGATCCAGCTCGCTCCCGGTCCCTTCTCCCCAGACCAATGAACGGCCGGGCGCCGGGCCTCGTTTCTGCCTCTGACAAGTGGGTTCGGTGTCTTGGGCTTGTCTAATCCAGAAAGGCCCCCGGGAGTCAGGATTCTTGGGTTCTATTCTGGGCTCTCTCATTGACTTGGTGGGTGACCGTGGGCCAGTTGTGCCAGTTCTGTGCCTCAGTTTCCCCACATGTAAACAGGAGAACAACTGTCCCCATGCAGCATGAGACTTGAGTCATATCTGGAGCACTCAGAGTCCCCTGGCTGGGCAGCCCCAGAGCGCAGAGGCTCACCCTGTGCTGGTTCCATATGGCAGGGAAGAACCCCACCGACGAGTACCTGGAGGGCATGATGAGCGAGGCACCAGGTCCCATCAACTTCACCATGTTCCTCACCATGTTCGGAGAGAAGCTGAATGGCACCGACCCAGAAGACGTTATCCGCAATGCCTTCGCCTGCTTCGACGAGGACGCCACAGGTACGGCAGGGGGGGCCTGGCTGGCGGAAAAATGATACCACTCAAAATTACAGAATAATTCATGGGAAATTTCAGGGGGACTGGTTCTGATTCTAGAATTTGAGAGGGGGGAGCTATCCAGGGCGGCTGCCTTGAACCCAGGGCTGAAGGTCCAGAAGAGAGAACGGCTCCTTTGTACCATTGAGTTTCTGGGCCTCAGCCAGGCATCTGGGATCTCAGAGCAGGTTTGGGGTCCATCCAGTGCCCAGCCCCACAGAGGAGCCTTTCACCCTAGTTCAAAAGCCTGGCAAGTTCACAAAGTGGCGTTCAGCACCCCTGCCTTTGCTTGGTGTGTCTGTAGAGCAAAGACATGACGGTGCCTTTGCTTGCAGCCGCTGGGGGGTGTGTGCTGATAGACTGGGCTCCTTCTGGGTAGGGATGTAAAATGTCAATTATTTGGCTAATCGAATAGTCAATGCAATTTGCATCGATTAGTCGATAAGGCGCCTCTGCCTTCAAAATGTAGTAAGAGCCCCAGGACTGTTGCTATGCTTCAAAGGCAAAAGCGCCGTGGGGAGCACAGGGCAAGTGAGGGACTCCAGCAGTCCCCCACTGGCCCTGTGCTCCCTACGGCGTTTCAAAGTGGCAGTGACGCATGGCGCCCAGCTGACTCCAGGCTCCATGCAGCGCTGCCGCTTTGAAATGCTGCAGGGAGCCCAGGGTCATTGGAGTCTGACTCCAAATGGTGTTGCCACTTTGATGTACTCCCTCCTCTCCTCCATCCCCTTACAGCCTCTTTCTGATAGAGGCAGCAAGGGCAGGGAAGCGACCAGTCATTCACATCCCTGCTTCTGGGACCCTCCTATTCCCCTTTCATGGCTCACCCTGGCAGTGTGACCCCCCTGTGCGGCCACTCGCTTTCACACTGAGCTGATCGGGGCAGAGGGCACTAAGGGGTCTGATCTAACCCTCAGCCACCTGTTTGCAACAGGTCTTATTCCATTGGGGTGCCATGGGTAACACCTGCAGCCCGGTGTCTTGGACCCCAGTAACCGCCACACCACGTAGCTAGAGCTGGCTGGGTCCATGTGGAAGTGCAATTGCATCTTGGATTCCTAGAAACGCCCTGTTCCACTTTGCGAGTCGTCCTGGCCAGGCCTTGCAAAGGGCCGGCTCAGAGCTCCGCTGCATTCGCTCGGGTGCTCCAAGGCCCTGCATTGACTCCACCTCCTTCATCTTGCCTCCTCCCGGCCGTGCGTCCTCCCTTTCAGGTTTCATCCATGAAGACCACCTGCGGGAGCTGCTCACCACCATGGGGGACAGGTTCACGGACGAGGAGGTGGACGAGATGTACCGAGAGGCCCCCATCGATAAGAAGGGCAACTTCAACTACGTGGAGTTCACCCGCATCCTGAAGCACGGTGCCAAAGACAAGGATGACTAGAGCAGAGAGGCGCCCACCCCACCTTGTGTACACCTGCTGTGCCCCTCCCCCCGAGCACCCGTGCTGCCTCTGGGCCAGAGTCCCAGCAGGCCAATCCCTTGGGAAATGCCTGAAAGCACAAGCCATGGGGCCTTGCCCCTGCTCTGCCCTAGGGACGCGCTGGCCCACTCACCAATGCCCCTCCCAGGAGAAGATGCTCCCGTCCCTCAGCCCTTCGAGCACATCAGCCATTCCTAGACTCGTTCCCCTGGTTGGCTGCCGGCCAGTCCAGGTGGCTCCCGTCCCCCCACAGATCTGGCCTCCCGAATTTGAGCGCTGCGTAGGAGCAGTGACCGGAGGGGAGGGGATAGTTACCAGGGCGCCGCCCGCCAAGTGCTGGAGAATCTGGCAATGTGCCACGGCCGGCCAGAGTGGCAGCACCTGAGGGCCCTGCGGAGATTTCTGCTTAGCCCCTGGCTGCAGAATCTCTTCCCAGCCAGACCACCCCAGGCCTCTCCCTCTGGTTGAGAGCATGCTCATGCTGGAGTCTGATCCACTGGGAGTCCCTCCTCGGTGCGGCCCTGCCTGCCTGCTCCACCCCGCTCTGCACACCTGACTTGCACTTAGCACCTTTCACCTGAGCCTAGCAGAGCACAGGCACCCGGGTGCATGGGATGGCTTTGCCATGTACAAATCTTGTAGGACGCGTTCTTGTGCTGTCAAACCATTCTGCTGGGGACTCATTTGTGCTTCTAATTAGTCCCTCTCCAGGAAGAACAATACATCCTGCCCTGCATTTTGCCTTGATGGCAATGTTTACCCACAATCCCCAGCGGTTATCCTGCCATTTCAGGGCTGACATTCCCCAGTGTTGCGGTCTCTAAGATGTACAAATCTTGTAGGACGCGTTCTTGTGCTGTCAAACCATTCTGCTGGGGACTCATTTGTGCTTCTAATTAGTCCCTCTCCAGGAAGAACAATACATCCTGCCCTGCATTTTGCCTTGATGGCAATGTTTACCCACAATCCCCAGCGGTTATCCTGCCATTTCAGGGCTGACATTCCCCAGTGTTGCGGTCTCTAAGACAGGAGCCCTCCGTGACGTTAAGCCAGTCACAGCTGCTGCCATCAATATGGGCCTGTCCCCCACTGGAATGAATGAATGGAGGCTCCCGACGTGCACACTACGCTTGGGCTGAGAGAGAGCAGAACACGGGATCTGCCAGAATGGATAGGAGCCTTGGTCTCGCCACGTCCAGGTCCTGCCTCCCATCTCGGTACCTACCCAAGGCTTGAGAGGCAGGTAGGAGCTCCCCGAGACACACCTCGCCAGCTGTGCAGTGCTGGGTACCTCGAGTAGAAAACCTCTTGCATTCCGGGAGACAGCCATTTCCCACCCTTACACACAGGCTTTGATCACTCTCTCTCCTTACACTGCCCCCCTGTGTATTATCCAGTGTGATTCCCAGAGTATATGACATAAATGCAGGGAATCATCAACTCATATAGACCCTCTCCATTCATTTCCCAGCAGTTATTATCCGGCACAGGTTGAATATCTCTAGTCTGGCACCCTTGGAGTCTGACCAGTGCCGAACCAGAGAATTTTCCGGGCCATGGGAGGTCAGTATTGTCTAGCAGCATTCCCAACGCTTCCCCTGCTTGCTGGGCTGTTAGAGGACATGAAGGGGTAAATCAGAGCTAAATAACAGCACAGAACACAGAGAGCCAGGGCTGGGGGCTGTAAACAAACTTTATGGGACCATGGGAAGCTTGGCCACACCCCTGATAAGTAGACATCCAGCTAACTGAAATCATGCCGAACCACGGATGTTGCTGGACCAGAGTGCCAGGCTAGAGAGGTTCACCCTGTACAAAGAAGAGTGACAAGGAAAGGAATATACAACTGCTCCCTCTTTTTTGTTTTGTTTTCTATTTGATTATGTTTTTGTGGCTTTAGAATCGGTGATGTAAGGGATTCAGAAAATTGAAATTATCTATAAAGTACAAAGGCTATAATACAAATGAGTGCTGATCCCTTATTTACCGGGTCTTCTTGTGTTACTGCGCATGGTGATTTCTGCCTTTGTCCTAAGCCAGTGTTTCTCAAACAGTGGTTACGAATACCCGTATGGGTACTTGAGAGGAGTCTGGGGGTACACCAACACAACTGAAATTTGGAGAAAATGGAATTTTTGTTTTAAGTTTTATAGCACTTTATTATTTTTGTTCTTTTTACACTAAAAACTGTCATCACTTCACCTCCCCTGCCTGGCTACGATTAAGTTGTTTAAACAAATGTGTTGCAATGGTAGAAAAAACATTTTATGTCTGAAAACTGTAGGTACTGGAGGTACTTTTTTTTTTAAGGGGTACTTTTCCTAAAACGATACGCTGGCCTAACGAGGGGAGGGGAAGTTGGTGCTGGACACCCACCGGCAGACCCATCTCTCCGGTAGAGACTGGAGGCTGCACATCTGGGCCCAGCATTGGGAGGATGAAGTGGAGAGTCCAGCAGAGGGCCCTTCCCACCTCCTGATGTAACAGATGACTGCTTAGGACAAGCGGCGAGGAGTCCTGTGGCACCTTATAGACCAACTGAAGTGTAGGAGCAGAAGCTTTCGTGGGCAAAGACCCACTTCGTCAGATCTGACGAAGTGGGTCTTTGCCCACGAAAGCTTCTGCTCCTACACTTCAGTTGGTCTATAAGGTGCCACAGGACTCCTCGCCGCTTGTCCTAAGCAGTCATCTGTTACATCAGGAGGTGGGAAGGGCCCTCTGCTGGACTCTCCACTTCATCCTCCCAATGCTGGGCCCAGATGTGCAGCCTCCAGTCTCTACCGGAGAGATGGGTCTGCCGGTGGGTGTCCAGCACCAACTTCCCCTCCCCTCGTGGCACCACGTTCTCTGGCAGAGTTGCTTCTATACGCTAGCTGGGAAGGTCTGAGCATTCACCCCACATTTTTGCTCCTGCAACCTAGCTTCATGGTCTGCCCTTGCCAACTGAGGAAGCCGGTCACTCCTTTTACAGCACATTAAGATGAGAGGCAGTTTGAAAACACGAGGAGCTGATTTGAAAATCTGCCAGTTTGTCCATTTAAATCACCTAAGAGAGGGGAAAACCTGCTGAGAGAGACATGCCCTTCTCTACAGCTCTGAGGGTCCAAAGTGCTGCACCTGCCACCATGCTGATTCAACATTGCCACAGTAAACTCTATTTCAGTGTCCACGGTTCCAGACCTGGTAGAATATTTGCAATAGCAAATACTCGTTAATGTCAAACATTGGGCTGCAAGATGGTAGGCACCAATGTCTCAGCCCCGATGGATGGTGCTTAATTTGTAATGAAAGAGCTTCTGGGGCTCAAGCAACTTTTTTATATTCATCTACTATATATCTGAGGGAGTTTGTGTGTGTGTGTGTCTGTGTGTTCCTTGCTTCTTGAACAGAGAGACACAGAGTCACCAAATTTGGTATGCAGCTTCCTCTTATAACTTAAAGCAAGGTCAGGGTTTAGTTCAATGTTCCCTCAATTTTTTCCATCTATGTGCAGAATAAATTTTGTTATGTGCACTGAAGCATAAGCAGATGTGCACCACCAGTAGAAACATGCTGTCAGCTGTGGGCACTCTGCTAATCAGCTGAGAAGCATTGACATTTCTTCTGGGTTGCCGCCCAAGCACTCAGCTTACAGGGAACACCGATTTAGTTGTGCCAGGAAAATGGGATCTGCCTGCAATGGGATTGCTTGTCATAGAACCAAACAGAGAAGAGACAGAATCACATACACACCCCTATCTGGGACTGTCCAATCCCCAAACCTCCCACCCCCAGGTGCCTGTTAGGGTGGAGGGGCTTCCTGCACCCCCTGCCCTCCCCCAACACACACACACAGCACCCTGCCCTGAGTCCCTCATTACCTTCCAACTCTGACTTCCGCACCCCCACATACAACCTGCACTGAGTCCCATCTCACTCCCCAGCCCTGATTCCTGCATCTCCACATCTCAGCCCCCTGCCCTGAGCCCCACCCCACCCCACCATTCCCCAACCTCTTGTCTTGAACCCTCCCAAACTCCACCCCACACTTACATTTCTTACAGGTACTGTTGTATCACAACCCTCTGCCCTGAGCCCTGCCCTGAGGGGGCTGCAATATGACAGTACCTGTAAGAAATTTAAATCACTTTTGCCCCTGGACTGAACTAAGATGAGCCAGAAAAACAGAATGAACCCACAATAGAACTGCTTCCCAATAAACCTTGCAGAAAAGAGAAAATGGAGGGATTTGGAGTAGTGCTCTGTTTTGGCACAGCTAAATCAATGCTTGAGGCTTGAAAACGCCTTCTAAACAATAAGAGCCAGGACCACCGCATTCTGTGTACAGCTTCCTCTGATCATTACTTAAAGCAACATTAGGGTTTGGTTGTGCCAGGAAAACAGGATGTGCCTGGGATAGGAGCACTCAGAGAACCAAACGAAAAAGACACCGAATCGCCAAATCAAGTCGTCTTCAAAATTGACATATGAAGGTTGAAAGTGATTGAACCAAGATGAGCCAGAAAAACAGGATGAACCTGTGATAGGATTGCTTCTCAATAAACCATACAGAAAAGAGAGAAAACGGAGAGATTCGAAGCAGTGCTCTATTTTGGCACAGCAAATCAATGCTTAAGATCTGAAAACTAGAAGAAAATGCTATTGCACACCACATTGGCTACGGCCCTTTTTTTGTTAAAAAACAGTAAGGCTACGTCTATACTGCAACCTTCTTCTGCAAAAGCTTATGCAAATGAAGTGCGGAGTAGAATATCGCAAGAGGCTTTTGTGCAAAAAGGAGCTGTGTAGATGGCTGAAAAAATGAGGAAGAACAGCTGCTGTGCAAGAGGGGGGTTTTTGTGCAAAAAGGAGCCATCTACACAGCTCCTTTTTGCACAAAAGCCTCTTGTGCAAAAATAGCTGCTAATTAATTATGTAAATGAAGTACTGCGATATTCTACTCCGCACTTCATTAGCATCAGCTTTTGCTGAAGAAGGCTGCAGTATAGACATAGCCTAAATGAGGAGAGTTTATAGGGATTGTGGCGGGGGCCCCCCCGCCTCTGTCCCCTTTCCCCTGGGGAACAAAGCGCTAACCCCCAGCCTGGGGGCCTAGTCCAGCACCCGCAGCAGGCCCAGCGGCCTAGTCCAGCCCTGCAGGGTGGGGTAGGGGGGTCCGGGCCCTCCCTCTCCACCGGACCCCAACCCAGGGCCCTAATGGTGGTGGGTGGTTCCCACCACCGGCTCAGCGGGGGGTCCTCCCCCACAACATGCTAAGCCCACTGGGGGAGGGGGGGATTTCCCGGCCTCTTGCCCTGGGTTGCTTCCTACCCCCAATCTGGCGGCCGACGGAGGTCCCACCTGGCGATGCTGGGTTGCCGGCAGCGGCCTCGTCCGACGGTCTTGTCCCTGGGGCAGCGGCACAGGGGCGTCTTCTGCAGCGGGGCGGGCGGCCACCGGGCGTCGGTGTTGGGGGCGTGCTCGCCCCAGGGCTGGTGGTAGCCGCAGCGGTGCCTCCTCCGGCTCTGGATCTGGCAGCAGGTCCGGCGGCGGGCCTGCAGCTGGGGCCGGAGCTCCTGCCTCCCCAGCGGTCTGCCTCAACTGAGCAGCCCAGCAGTCTTTTATA